CTCCCCGGGTACGGTTCCGTGTTCCCCCAGGTACGTCGGTTCCGTCCTTCCGGAGGTTTTCGGCTTATCGCATCCAACCTGGTGTGGTGCGAGCGGCCTTTGCAGCTTACCTCCTGCGTGACCCGGATTATGCCTCGGAAATGGATCCGTCCACGTTCAGGTTTGGGACTTCGTTCCCTTTCTGGCTCCGTTACGAGGTTCCGGAGTCATCCTGGCTAGCAGACTGCCCCTTGTTTGGTCTGGATTCCTGGCATTCCTTCTGTCGTTCCCGCACGCTGGAGTGGCGGGAAGCTTCCACGGTGCTTCAGGTTTTCCTGGGGGGTGAACTTGAGTACCTGAATGAGTGCTTGTTTGCCCCTGCCCTTCCCCGCGATGTGGGCGTTATTCAGCTCCATGTGCAGGTTCCCTCCCTTTCGGCGGCGCTCGTGGCGGAGGACTTGCGCGCTCGGGGCCTTTTGTGTTCGGCCTTGCGGTTCTTTTCCCTCCTGGAGCTGTCTTCGGATTGGCTCGTGGAGGATGTGGGGACGCTTGGGTCCGTCCCGGGGTCCGGCACCTTGTCCTCGGCTGCGCGTTCGTCGGCTGCCTTGTTGAAGCTGTTCACGCCGATTTTGCGGGATGCGGTTTCCCTGTTCTATGCTTCCCGTCTCGCGTGTCGGCAGGCGGTGCTGGGTTCCTCCGTGGAATCTGCTTGGGCTCTGGCTCTTAGGCGTTCTTCCCCTTTTTGTCCTCTCCTGTTTGGGGAGTCGGCCGTGGCGCAGTTTATTCAGGCTGCGTCGGCGGCTTGTCGTCCGATGTCGGACTTGTTGGTTTTCCGGGGGTCCCGGGGTGGGTCTTCCCGGAAAGGTCGTGCCAGGGCTCGGGGTTCCTCTCGTCGTGGTAGGCCTCTGGTGTCAGGTTTGGGGTTGGCTCCTCCTGCGGACCCTCCCTCGTCTGGTCGGCGCGGTGTTCGCGCTGTGCGGGGTTCTGGGTCTCGTAAGGGTCGCCGGCCCTTTCGCGGTTTGCCCCTTTGACGGGGCGATGGGGGGGCGGCTTGCGCTGTTCGCCCGCGCCTGGTCCCACGATTCGTGGGCCTTTCGGGTCGTGTCTCGCGGCCTGCGGTGGCGTTGGGTGGCCCCTCCCCCCTTTGGGGGGTCGGGGCTGGCGGGGCAGGCTTCTTCCCCTGCGCTCTGTCGAGTCGTCTTGGAGTGGGTACGCTTGGGCGTCGTCGAATCGACGTCGTCCCTCAGATGGGTTTCCCGTCTGTTTCCGGTTCCGAAACGGGACTGCGCGGACCTGCGGTTCATTCTGGACTTGTCCCGTCTGAACCCCTGGGTTCATTGCCCCTCCTTTCGGATGACTACGCTGTCTCAGGTTCGGCTCCTCTTGGAGCCGGGTGCTTGGATGGTGTCCCTGGACCTCCGGGACGCTTATTGGCATGTCCCGATTCATCCGCGGTTCAGGGACTGGCTCGGTTTTGTAGTGGGGCGTCTGAGTTACCGCTTTCGTTGTCTCCCGTTCGGGTTGAACCTGGCACCTCGCGTGTTCACACGCCTTACACGGGTTGTGGTGGCTCGTTTGCGTCTCCTAGGTGTTCGGGTGTTGGCCTACCTCGACGACTGGCTGGTTTGGGCTCCCAGCCAGTCAGCTTGCTTGCTAGCCAGGGATTTGGTTCTTTCCCAGCTCGCCGGGTTCGGGTTCTTGGTGAACTGGAGGAAGTCCCATCTGGTTCCCTCTCAGGTTCGGACTTGGCTGGGTCTCGTGTGGGACTCTCGGACCGCCTCCTTGTCTCTCCCTCCGGAGTCTCTCCTGCGGCTGCGGTCCCGCCTTCGTCTGTTTCTGGAGGGCCCTCGGGTCACCCGGTGGTTGCTCGAGGGGCTGTGCGGGAGCCTGAACTTCGCGATGGTGGTCTACCCGCCGGGTCGGGTTTGGCTTCGACGGCTGTTCTGGTTCCTTCGGGGTTCCCCCTTCCGCCTCTCTCGCGATCGCAGAGTTCGACCCCCGGGGCCTTGCGTCGGTTGCTGCGTCACCGGCTTCCTCTTCGGGTTTTTCGGGGTTCAGTGCCTTGGCGCCTACCCAAGCCCTCGCTCGATGTGTACACGGATGCGTCGTCTCTCGGCTGGGGTTTTGTGACCAGTGCTCACCAGGCCGGCCAGGGGCGTTGGGATCCGTCCTTCCGTCGAGCTCACAGTACGGTGCGGGAGTTCGCGGCAGTGTGGTTTGCTCTGGGGAGGATTCGGGTGGCCCGCGGATCGACGATTCGGCTCCATTCGGACTGCTCTCCGGTGGTTCATTGCCTGAACCGCGGGGGTTCGATGCGGTCCTTGTCTCTTTGGGGTTGGTCGTTTCGGGTGACTCGTCTGCTGAGTTCTCGGGGTTTGGCTCTCCTGGCGGTTCACGTACGGGGCGTGTCCAACGTCTTGGCTGACGCCCTGTCTCGCTTCGTTCCCCTCTCCACGGAGTGGACGGTCGACGACGAGTCCTTCCGTTGGCTTTGCCAGACGTTCGGGCGCCCCGAGGTGGACCTCTTCGCGTCGGCGTGGTCGCGGCGTCTTCCCGTTTATGCGGCGCCCTTCCCCGATTGCGAGGCCGTCGGGGTCGATGCCTTTCGGCTTGACTGGTCGAGGTGGGGGTTCCTGTACCTCTTTCCCCCAGTTCGGCTGTTGCTCCAGGTCCTGACTCGCTTAGAGACTTACCGGGGGAGAGTTGTCCTTCTGGCCCCTTGGTGGCCGGCCCAGCCTTGGTTTCAGGCGCTGGTTGCTCGGTGTCCGAACCCGAGGGTTTTCCCGCGGCTCCGCCTCTTTCAGCAGATCGGGCCGGTACGTCACGTAGCTGGTTCGATCTTCTCCTCGAGTCTTCGCGTATGGTTTTTTTGACTCGAGTCTATCATCATCTCTATGGTGATCAGGTGGCCTCCTTGTTGGTGTCCCACCTGAGGGCTTCTTCTCGGCGGCAGTATGAAGTTTCCTGGCGGTCCTTCCGTTTCTTTTTGCGTCTTCGTCGTGTTAGCTCCTTGTCTGTTCGGGTGGTCTTGTCCTTCCTCTCGTGGTTGTTTCAGGACCGTCATCTTATGCCTAACACTGTCGCTTCGTATCGTGCGGCGCTGGCGGAGCCGCTTCAGCTTGCTTTCGGTATTGATGTTACGTCTGCGCCGTTTCGCAAGCTGTCTCGTGCATTGTTTCACCTCCGGCCTGCTCATGCGTCGCCTGAGCCGTCCTGGTCTTTGGACAGAGTGCTCGCTTTCCTTTCATCTCCTCGTTTCGTTGTGGCCCCTTCGGTCCAGGATTGTTTTTCCAAGGCACTTTTCTTGTTGGCTTTGGCCTCTGGGGGTCGGGTAGGGGAGCTTCATGCTCTCCTCCGGCGCAGGGGTTTCTGCTCTTTTGGTCGTGGTGATAGTTTTGTTCGTTTGCAGCCGTCTCCTTCTTTTCTGGCGAAGAATGAGACTGCTGCGTTCCGGAGGGGTCCATGGGTGGTTGATGCTTGGTTGGTCAGGCCGGGGGTGCATCATGTTTTGTGTCCGGTTGCGGCGCTTCGCCGTTATTTGCGCGCCACAGCTTCTGTGTCCGGGGACGCGCTGTGGGTTGATCCGGTTTCCCTTCTTCCCTGTTCGCGGGTTCGGGTCTCTCAGGTCGTCCGCAGGGTTATTAGGTCTAGCCAGCCTGCGGTCTATCCCCGTGCCCATGACGTTCGTAAGTTCGCGGCTCTTGCTGCCGTCTTTGGGAATATGTCTTGGTCTGATATTCGGGCGCGGGGATTTTGGCGTTCGAACAGGGTCCTGGCTGCTCGTTACCTTGTGAATGTCCCTGGCCCTCGTCGGGCCTGTGTTGCTTTGGGTCGGCGGTTGCAGCCAGTTGTCTCGGCTTCGAGTTGAGGGGTGAGCGACGACCGCCTCCCGGGTAAGTCCCTCTTTTTCTGTCTGTGGGTAGTTAGCTCCGGGGAGCCGACGGGGCTCCCCCCAGAAAACCAGCGTTGAATGTAATGAAACGCCATTTTCTGGGTGAGTCCCGGAGGCTCCCCGGCATCCCTCCCTCCCTCCGGTCGGCGGTTTTTCGCGTTTTTGACATCCAGCCTCTAGAACTGAGGTGTGGGTAGCCGGCGCGGGGGGTCTGGGGCTCCCCCTTCCCCCTCCCGGGGAGGGGGGAGCTGCGCAGACAGCGGCGCGGCAGTGTGTGACGTCACACTAATTTGCTTGTTTTCGGTTGGGGAGTTCTATCCACTAGTTCGGTATTAGGTAGCAATTTTAACCAGAATAGGGGTTTGTTTTGGGGCGCTTACCTTTCTGGGTGCCTGTTCCGGTCGATGGCAGACATAGAATGCTTCCAACTACACGGGGGCTTCTATAGGCCATTGCTCCCCTTGCCTCTCTGAGGGGGCCCGGTTCTGGCCGTGGTCCCCGGTAGGCCTAAGAACTCCATACACATGACTGATGCCAAAGTCTGACATTAGCATATCAGCCTGGGATAGCTCCGGGGAGCCTCCGGGACTCACCCAGAAAATGGCGTTTCATTACATTCAACGCTGGTTTTTTATAAGTGTTTAATTTTTCTCATTCTTATTGATAGTTTTAATAAATATTTCCTGTTTATTTTCAGTGAGAATTATTTGTAGTTTTCTCTTGTTTCATAGTTAAGAGAACATTTATTTTTCTGATAAGTAAATATGTGAAAAAGCATGAATTGCCTGTACACTGCTAAAACTGACTTAATGGCTTACTTTAGATAAAGCTTCTATATTTAATTTGGGTCAATATTAAATTTGCTTGATGATGATTGCAATTAAACCAAAATTATAGCAGACTATCTCCAAAGGTTTGCTTGTTATTTAGGTTTATTACCTGTTTCTATTTCCATATATTAAGTTAATTGGTTAAGCATCCTTAATGTTTGTACATATTTTGTAATATACATATCTTTACTGCTGTAATTCCTCTAGGTTATGACACGAAAGTCAGGATCATGGACACCATTAAGATATAAAAAATGTAAGCTGCTTTTTTACTCCTCATTATTGGGTCTTCCTAACAGCATATTGCAGAATATGGTTCTCTGAAGCGAAACCAGAGACAATCGTCAGTTTGGGCTAAGTTGGACCGTCTTAGCCTTCTTCGGGGTGGTAAGGTAATGTTTTGGGAACCTAACGTAGAAGCACACTGCTAAAGGGAGTAAGCCATCTTTGCTTTACAACTACTGTATTTGCTAATTTTATGGGCTTAATATTGTGTTAGGTAGTGAAGTACTGTACACAATTACAAAAGGGACCAACATTATTCATGCATGGACATTCGTCTACTGAAAAATGCATATTCACTTTTTGTTCATAATATTATGCAGCAATAATGACATTAATAGTAATAATGATGATAATGATAATAATAATGATGATAATAATAATTTAAAAAACACATGCATTCTTTTTATTTACAATGGATACATATTGTACATAGTACTGCGTTGCAGCATATTTTCAGGCTGCCAATCACTCAAGATTTTGGGTAAATTGGATTATATTAAATGAATTTGGCACTTTTATTCTATTGTACTGTAGGTGATCTTTTTAAAATGCACTCTTCGTACACTGCCAGACTTTCTTAGTGCCCCATTTTAGCTCACCCAATACACCAATAGCATTCGCACCTTTGAGTCGAGTATGTCAATTAACTTGAGTGCAGACTTACTCAGAACTTGAGTTATTCATAAACTTTTCCTGAATAGAATAGAGTACTTCCTTGGGGCACCTTAATTTATCCAGTTTTTGCTTTTTATAGCTCTCCGTGCAGCTGCTAATTAAGTACTGTATGTATGATACTGCATAAGTAACATACATCACTTAGGCAGTGATGTATGCTGCATAAGTAATATACATCACTTATGCTGTGATGTATGCTGCATAAGTAATATACATCACTTATGCTGTGATGTATGCTGCAAAAGTAACTTACATCAATCATTTTTGCAGTTTTGTTTCTCTCTTATCAAATTTGTTACATTAGTTGTATACAGTACATCTTTAGTTAATAACAGGGATATTAGGGATATTAACCACAGCTGCTTACAACTTTCTCAAATCATATTTATGGTAAATGAAATTATCAAAACTGCTTAAGCTTCAATTATAAGTTGCTTCTGTCTATTAATTTAACTTACCTTGCGATCTTGCGATGATTTCGGGGCTCAACGTCCCCGCGGCCCGATCCTCGACCAGGCCTCCTCATAGAAATGACTTCTCGTGACAAACTTGGTCATAGAAATTTCCTAGGAAATAGAATATTATACAAATTATGTAAAGGTGTTATTAGCGATAGTATATTGATTATAAAGGGCTTGAACAAACTATATAGGGCGAGGTGATTAGTTCCGTAAAGGATTCCATTTAATCAATCAGACCCCAGATAATTAAGTGAGGATGATACTGTGGCTCAAGAGTTGGAAAATCTAGTTTGTAAAGTTGCACTAAAGATATTATGAAATAATAGAAATAAAAATTATAGAGGTTTAAATGCACCTAGAAAAAATCTTATGAGATAGGCCTATAATATACTGTATCTGTAACAACAAATTTTGGGTAATTCCCATAGCAGTATCACTAGCAAGGAAGAACGTTCAGTCATTCAATGCACTAATTGTTGGGTCAGCTGTAATTTAACTTACTACTTGAAATGAAGGATTTTGAGAAGATAATGTAAATTAGGTATCCTGCATTGCAATGACTAATTACCTTTTCATGAAAAGTAATTCAAAATACTGTGTGACAAACACAATGTGCCATGTGGGACATTGACATTGCATGTGGGACATTGACATTGCAATGACTGAAACAATCATGATATGTAGGTGGATGTTTCACAAATGATTGTCTAGGTATGTTAAATGTATGTGTGTGTGATGCAGTTGAAAGGGAGCATGGGTGATAGTGCAACGTATCTTCTTGAATAGTATATTACACTTTGACACATACACTATATTCCCTAAGGCCAAAAACTGATGTACTAAAAATCAAAGCAGCTTGTAAAATTGATGTGATGTCTCATTTTCTATTCGTGGGTCCTTATTTGTTTCAACTTGTGGCAAATCCAGAGTTAGTGTGTGAACTGTGTGGAATGTATGGAGGTGTTGTCAAATGAAAGGGTTAAGTGGTATGCAGAAGACATGGAGTTTGCAATAAAATATAAGTGGTTCATAATGATGGCTGTATAAACATTGAATATAAGTTTGATTTGCAAGTTTTAGCATACATGTAATTAATTATTTGAGAGTAAAGTGGTGATGCCACCAGAATGTTAGCCAAGAAGGTTAAGGATGTAGTGTGTTCTGAAGTGATTTTTCAGCATTTAGTAAAGAAAGTGGAACAGACTCTCACCTGATACAGACAACCACTTGGTTTGCAAACTTTAGTTATCCGAAAGTTCCAGTTTCACAATCGTGGTTGGGGGTTTCAAGCTTCACGAACTAAGTTCGGGAAGCAAGGAAGAGGTCCGCCAGTAATCGCGCCGACCTGGGGGTGGTGGGAGATGGCCTAGTTTGCCCCCTGACCATGTCGAGCACCACCACTCTAGTGCCTTCTACCTTGTGACGTCACAGATTCACGGCCCATTGTTCCCATTGTTTTTATTTGTCACAAAGCTGGAATGTACATTCCGTGACTTTGTTGGACATATCTGCACAATCTAGGAACATCCGTGCACCAAGTTGGCTCCAAATGCACGCATTGTGTCAGTGATGGCTGGTTGGTGGGTGGATGGGTGGGCAGAGTGGGCAGGCAGGCAGGGAGGGTGGGTGGGGGAGATGGGGTAGCTGGCAGGCGGGGTTAGTAGGTGGGTGAGCATAATGGGGTTGGTGGGTGGATGGATGTATGGATGGATTGGTGGCTGACTGACTGACAGGCAGGTTAACTAGCAGGTGGGCTGGGGTGGGGGTAAATTTTGGGTGGGTAGGTAGGTGGATGAATTGGTGACCAGCTAGAAGGCAGGCAAGGGATGGGGGGTGCATGGGTAGGGAGGATGGCTGGGTTGGTGGACTGGCTGGGTGTGTGGGCCAGCGATTCATCTATCCACAGCAGTGTGGATGGATGAATTAGTGGCTGACTAGCAGGCAATCTTGGTGGGTAAGCTAATGGGGGGGGGGCAGGCTAGGTGGGGTTGCTGCGCAGGCTGGTGGGCAGGCTTATTGGTGAGCAGGCAGGCTGGGTGGGTGGGTGGGTTTGGGAGGGCGGTCTTTAGGCAGGCTTGGGCGAGCGCAGGCTGGTGGGCAGGCTTATTGGTGGGCAGGCAGGCTGGGTGGGTGGGTGGGTTTGGGAGGGCGGTCTTTAGGCAGCCTTGGGTGAGCTCAGGCTGATAGGCGGGCTTTTAGGCAAGCCTGGGTGTGTTCGGGCGGGCTTGGGTGGGTAGGCAGGCATGGGTGGGTTCGGAGCGGGTAAGCGGGCATGGGTGGGTTCAGGCGGGTGGACGGTCAATCACAGACTGGCTGTGGTCACACTACATTCCCTCAGGTTCCCCATCCCTGCTACATTCTAGCCCTCTTCCCATCCCCAAATCGGACCCTTCCAAAAATACCCCCCCCCCTCCAGATTTGTTTAGATGGGTATTATCACGGTTCAGGTTCTCGGCTACTTTCCTACCAGATGGTGGCCTTGGAGTCAGACTGCCCTGACTTACTGACTGCCCTGACTTACTGACTGCCCTGACTTACTGACTGCCCTGACTTACTGACTGCCCTGACTTACTGACTGCCCTGACTTACTGACTGCCCTGACTTACTGACTGCCCTGACTTACTGACTGCCCTGACTTACTGACTGCCCTGACTTACTGACTGCCCTGACTTACTGACTGCCCTGACTTACTGACTGCCCTGACTTACTGACTGCCCTGACTTACTGACTGCCCTGACTGACTGACTGCCCTGACTGACTGACTGCCCTGACTGACTGACTGCCCTGACTGACTGACTGCCCTGACTTATTTATATACAAGAAGATACATTGGGTTTGTGAGAGTACATAATGTTGGTGCTCTGTAAGCATCAGATTCATGTTATTTACAAACTGTGACTGGTTGCTACCACAATTGTGAATGCCTAACAGTCTTTGACTGGTTATGACTGACTGATCTGTGACTATGAGTGCCTGACTGACTTGTGATTATGAATGCCTGCCTGACTTTAACTTGTGACTGAATGTGTAACTGACCAGTTCAATTTGTGTGAAGTTTTTGAAAACAAGATCAAAGGGAATGAAACAAATGTTAATTAAAGAGTCTTTTGCAAAGGCTTCCAAGAAAGCTGGCATTGTCTCACCTGCACCTGGTTCATCACATTATGACCCAAATGTGTCAACATCTGAGGTTACCTTATCACCATTATTCTCCACTTCAGTCAATCCAACACCATCAATATTGACCACCACCACCTCTTCCATGTAAATAACTATGCTACATCAACAATGATCATCAACATAATAAGTGGATCAGGACTTCTTTTATTGGTGAGTACATACAAACAAAATACTGCCGTATTTATTTTGTGAACTTGTCAATTTCTTCCCTTAGATTTTTTCCCCACATTTCTCGTTTACAAACTTACACAGTAACCGACGGGTCTCAGCCCCGAGGGGTTCGCAAAGCAAGTAGTCCTCTGTAACAATAAATGTTTTTATTAAGAGATTGAATGCTAGAAGGTTTTAGAAGAGAATGATAATGGTGAATATCTTGAGTTATCTTGAGGGTTATCTTGAGTTGATTTTGGGGCTTTAGTGTCCCCGCAGCCCGGTCCTCGACCCGGCCTCCACCCCTAGGAAGCAGCCCATGACAGCTGACTAACTCCTAGATACCTATTTACTGCTAGGTAACAGAGGCATAGGGTGAAAGAAACTCTGCCCATTGTTTCTCGCCGGCGCCCAGGATCGAACCCGGGACCACAGGATCACGTGTCCAGCGTGCTGTCCGCTGAATAATTGATATACTGTATGTTGCATCAGATGTACGTAAACACCCACTTTTAGGTAAAGAATATTATAAGTACAGTGGTACCCCGTCTTACGAATGCCCCTCTTTATGAAATTTTTGGGTTATGAGCCCGATTTCTTCGGAAAATTTGAATTGGGTTACGAACTTTACCTCGCGAAAC